CTTATTAACAAATAATAACAAAATTTAATATTAAAAAATATACGATTTAAAAAGTTTAAATTAAAATAATTAAAATAGTGATTTTTCTAATATATCAAATTAAATATTATATTCAATATATTTTTTTGAAGCAATTTAATATATTATAATTTTTTTATTAATAATAGATATTGTTATCCATATTATTATACAATCGACATCTATTGTTTTTCATAATTTCCATTTAATATATTATTTTAATATATTTTTATTAGAGTAAAATATTAAAATAAAATATTTAAGATATTAATGTTAGAGTATTATGAATATATACAAATTATATTTATATTACAAATATTACAAATTATTTAATTGTATATTACAAATTATATTTATATCATTATTTAAAAAAAAAATTAAAATTAATTAAATTCTATATTTTATCTTTTGTTTTCTTTTAGAAGGAAATGGAAATTTTGTTATGAATATTTAGATTTCTTCATTTTAAATCCGTTAATTTTTTTTAAAAAAGATAATGTGTATACATTTATATTAATTAAAATAATTGCAAAGAACTAGGCTGAATATTTTATTTTTAAATAAAACTTAAAGAAATTGTAATATAAAAAGAGTAGAAATTAAAAATGATATAATTTGATGCAAAAAAATTCAATATCAATATTTTATGAGATTTGAAAGAATAGAAAGCAAAAACAGAAAAACAAAAAATAATATTTGAAATATATATTTTATCAAAATATTTTTTATATAATATATATATTATATTCAATTAAAATAAAATATATAATATATAAATATTCAATTGATAATAATGATTTTTATTAAATTATTATTGTATTATTGATATATTATTGTATAATACTAAATTATTACTATAAACTTGTTATAAAATTTTTTTATGTTATTTTTACAGGATGACAAAAATAAACATTACTAGAAACATTGTTCATGTTTAATTCTTGAACATAATTCTTGCAAATATATCTGCTATTCCTGATAAATATTGGTAATTTATAACATTTGATATGTAAGTATATAACAGCTACTATTTTTATTTTTTTTTATTTTATAAATTTTAATAAAATAATTATTATAATATTGTATATTTGTAGCATTCAAAGCTAATTAAAACTATTTTTTCATCAAAATTTTTTTTATTAAAATGTTAGTCCTTATAATATATTTCATATTCTATTATCAATTTCTTCATTTAAATAATGAATATTATTGGTTAATATTAATTTGATGTAATTGATTTAAATAAATTAAATATAACATAATTATTATATATATATATTATTATATTATTATTACAATTATTATATATATATAAAATAGAATTTTATAAATAGATAATTTAGTTTAATTAATATCGTAATTCAGTTCGATGAAGAATTGACAAATTCTATTTAATTTATAAATTAAATTAAATACAATTTAGAAAATAAAATGAAAATTACAAATAAAAAAGTAATGTTTCTTATTAATAAATAATAAGATAATTTCAAAACTAAATCATAACTAAATTAACTAGGAGAAAAAGAATAAATAGCAATTAGAATAAATCATTATATATAATTAAATTAAAAATGGATATGATATAATTTTATATATTTACTTATAAATTTTTATAAATTTTATAAATTAAATATAAAATGTGGTATAAATCGAAAGAGGATAATGCTTTTTTAAGCAAAAATAAATTAAAATTGTAGAATGACAATTTGATAGAATGATACAAGATATTTTCAAAAAATCAACTATGAAATTTCATCATATACATTTGAGAAATAACATTAATTAAATATGTATTTTTATATGTAATTACTTTGCTCGTATTTCAAAATATCATGACTGATATAAATTAAATTAAGTATATATCAAATTTTAATAGTATATTTATTATTGAAATCAAAAATCATATCGTTGAATTTAAACTAAATTTTTGAAGATATTCTTCAATAGAAAAGGAGAAAAATTAAATTTCTAAATTGTTTTCAAAGTTTCTTTCGTTAATCGAATATTTTCAGTAATTTATTGAAGGTTTTTTCCATTAGTAAAATAATTCCAATAATACAATTAGTAACTTAATTTTTTTATTTTAAATTAATTACTAAATAATAATTAAAATATAATACAAAAGATACAAAGATACAATTTCAGACTGTAAAGAAAATCAAAATACAAATATAAATTAACAGTTTCATTTCGGAATTTATTGTCAAATGTGCTAAAGATTTTTAATATATAGTATTTCAAATGAATATTTAATGATATGAAATCAAAATAAATTAATAAAAATAATATGTTATAAATTATATATTCATAATTAAAATAAAATCGTCACTGATAAAAATTCTGAAAAATGTTTTAAAATAGTGAAATAATACAACGCAATACAAAAATAACAAATGCTGGCCTTCATCACTCTTCTTTTATTCATAAATTATAATTTCATTTTATTTTTTAAAAAAAAAATTTATCATGACTCAATATTTCTTACATTTAGATTCTATTAAATTATTAGATTTTATTTAAATTATATTTAAACTTCCTTTAATTGAATTGAATTATGCAATTTATTTGCATCAATTTATAATAAATTATGGATTAGCTCTCTCTTTAATGATTTTAATAAACTTGAAATTGTAAAGAAAAATGTTTTAAACTTTTTCCTTTAGATATAATTCGCGATTGATGTTAGTTTTCGAGTCATTTGCAAAAAATTTTATTATTATATTTAATTTTGTTTATTCTTTGCATTTGTACATGTATAATATGTGATAATGTAAAAATAATTATGTGATCGTCATTTGTTAACTATTTATATCATGATATAACGAATGAACAAATATCATATTTAAGAAAAAAAATTCTTTGGATTCAATAATATGTAAATAGAAATATGAAAATAAAATATATATAATAATAATATAAATAATCTTTGTGAAATTGAAATTACAATAAACAAAATTAATTTTATCATTATATAGGATAAATTTAGAAATTCAAGAAAGTTCGATTTTTAACAAAAATAATCGCATTATTGTATTTTTGTTATTTTAGATAAATAGAAACACTATTCAAATAATTTAGAATGCATAAGTTCTAATATTGCGATAAATTAAATTTGATAATATTCTACTGTTTTCATTTTTAATGAAAAATATAGATATATTTTATATTGCAATAGCCACATGTTCGGATTAGATCATTTATTCATTAAAAATCAGATGAGATTGATTTTAAGAAATAATATAAAGTATAATAAAGTATAATTTGTTATAACATAATAGAAATAATAAATTATAAATAATAACTTTTTATTTTTATAAGTGATAAATATTTTTATATTTTGAACACTTTTTCGTCGAATCAAATTATTTAAGAACAATTTAAATAAATCAATATTAATTAGATTATAATTTTTAATTAATTTTAATATTATCTATTTATATTTAGAGTAGTGACAGTGACTATTTATAATATATTACTTAAAAAATTAAAATAAGTTGTAACTCTCAACCACAATTTATAAAATAACAAATCTAAAAGTTGATGACTTATTATGTCTACCACTAATATTAAAGATTTGCTTTATTAATTGCATGAATATTTCCTTTTATTCATATATGTCACTTTTATTCATATATGTAAAAATTTATATATTAATTTTAGTAAATGGTGCTTCATTAAATGAAATATATATAATAAATTGGACATTTTTCATGAGAATCCATCCGAAAACTTTGTTATTGCTAGATAGTCTGATAACATTTGTTAAAGATAATGTAAATATAATGCTTATGAAAAAAGCAATGTCATATGTTGATCAAATTTCATTGAAATTTTTTTCTTATTTCTGGACTTTTTTATTTGCTCTTAAGAAGTAAATTTTTTGAATCTCGATATTGTATTATAAAAGAACATTGTATAAAAGTTTTTTAAACTTTAATGAAAGAGATATTCTTCACAATATATGAGATATATGATTTGATTATATCTTTCGATATAGAATTGTTATGTTATTATAATATAGCCATTGGCATCTTTATAAATATAATACAGTTCTATTATTTTTTTGAAATAATACAATATCATTTTTACATCAAGAAAATTTTCTATTAAATTTGTTCATCAATTTATTAACAATAAGAT